ACTGACCCTTCCTAACGTCAGGTCAGGATTGGGCTGGCTATCAGCCTGAGAATTTGCCTTCATAATGCAGGCCGCTGGCACCATCTCTCCCGGCAGCTGCTGCCAGAATAGCTGTTTTAAGGAAGTGAAGGCACCGACTTGGGACGAATCCACACATAAGCCTGGAGTTAGGTTTGGAGATGAGTGGGCAGAACGGCCTGTCGGCTGTTTCCTTTAACCTAGTGGGTCTTCAGCCTATTTTCTTTCCTGAAAGGAAACCAGACCCAATTCTTTAGAGAGTTGGGATCTATATTTCTTTGTAACCTTCTTTTCCGTCTGTCACCACTTAATACTTTGCATCCGAAGGCGGAGGCAAATAAGATGAAAGCAACGACCATTACGGAACGTAATTTTCATTGTTTGGGGAACACACTAGATCTTCTAGTTAACAAATACTTATGAAATGTTTAACGGTCTCACAAAAAAATCACTGCTCTTCCACACCGGATTGAGGAGACTGGTCGAGATCTACTTTGCGAGACGCAAAAACCTCAACAGAAACCGCAAAGCAGGAACTAGGTTGTGATACAATGATAAAAGGCACCAAAACCAGAGGCGGGTAATAGGATACAAGACCGTACGCAGGAACGGCTAGCTGGCTACTCGGCTCACTGCCCACTCATTTGGGCCAATTCTGGAGGTGGCTTCACGTGTCCTTCTGCCAACGTGCACGCACCCTGGTCCAATCTGCAGATCTGGAGGTCCACAGGCCCACTACTGACCGCGAAGGGAGACGGACGCGCACGATCAGAGCCCCCCTTTCCAGCAGGAAGGCAGACCCGCAGCCCCTCAGCAGGCTGCACGTGTTTGAGCCCAGTCCCGGGTGCACGTCCCACAGCTCAGGGAAGCGCACCGCGCGCGGGGACCCGCTCCGTTCCTCTCCCTGCAGCCGGAGCCTCGCCCTTGCCCCCGAGGCACCCGCGGCTGACAGAGCCCAACTCTTCGCGGCGGCATTGGGTGCCTCCGGAGAAGCCCCGGGCCGACCGCGGCCTCCAGGCGGGGCGCGGGGGCTGGGCGGGCGAGCCACCGCAGGGTCCCGGGAGGGGTGAGCGAGCCAGCGGCTGACATTTTTTGTTTGGTCCAGATTGGCTGGTAAATGGCGGTAGGCCGAGGCTTTTCCGCCCGCTGAAAGTCAGCGAGAAAAACAGCGCGCGGGGAGCAAAAGCACGGCGCCTACGCCCGGTTCAGTTAGGGTTAGACAAAGCGTGACCGCCACCCCTCCCGACCCCACTCTCCACCACCCGCCGCGCGCTCCGATGCCCCTCCTTATAAAGGGAGCGCCGCCGCCCGCGCCCATTGGCCGAGGCCGCTTGCCTCCGCTCTCGCGAGAGCCGGCCTCGCAAAAGTTTTTTTCAAAAATTCTATTTCCGGCCATGAGGACAATCGCTGCCGCTCTTCCACGTTCTTTAGGGAAAGGTTTGGGTTTTTCTTCCGACGTACTTTAAAGGGGAAAACTATCTTGAGTGCCTCTTAGCCCCGGTTTCCATCCCGTACAGACCAGGTGCGGTGTTACTGTACTACTTTAAAAAAATGGAGTTTTTTTTTAGGAGTAGAAAAAACTCAGGGCCCGAGACTCAAAACAGTTTCTAAATTCTGATCATCACATTTTTTAGAGAATTTTAGGAAAATAGATACCCGAGCAGCGCTGACTAAACCAGAATCTTGGCTCAGCTCGTTGGGCTGCCTCCGGGTTCCTGCCCTGCTCCCTTCTCCTTAGAGTGCCGTCTCTTCAAGTTCTCGAGCAGAGAGGATGGGTTTGTTTGGGTATAACTACTTTATTCTTAATCTTAGCATTGAGAACTGAATCTCCCTTTTATTAGGAAATAAAGGCTTTTCAATCATTGACTTTGCTTTAATGTGTCGTGATCAGGTTTTTTAACCTTTTTTTAAGAGGAACAATCCCATAAATTTGCAGCGGGGTTTTATATTGGCAGGTGTGGGAGATCAAGATTTGGCCACCCTGAAATATATCTCTTTACCTTGATTGTTTTCTCTGAGGGACATTTGACCTCCCCCACTAACTGCCTAAAGAATTTGACGTGGTGGCTCCTTCCTGGAACAGATCTTCTATCATGATGGCTATAAAGATAATGTAGGATAGAGGTTACAATGGGAAAGGCACCAAGCCTCTTTTATCAAAAAGTTTGTCTCTCCCTGACCACATTATCTATAGATGACCCTGAAAAGAATTGTCCTCCTGCCCTCTGAAGTCCCAGGCCACTACCCACCCCCAACACGCTCCTCGCCTTTAGCTGCAATACTTAAGCAAGCAGCTTAGACAGAGGGACGAGTTGCTCATTTCTGAGTTTCTCCCATATATACATGTTATTAAACTTGGTATTATTTTCTCCTGCTAACCTGTCTTGTTGATTATTTGGCCAGCCATAAGACAGTTTTGGCGTAGTCGCCAGGAGCCACACTGGCTGGCAAGTTGATTATTTGGCCAGCCATAAGAAAAGGGCAGAGGGAGATTCTCCCTCTTCCCCCGACACCGGTATAATGCTGTTTTTCATTTAACTGGCTGATCTTAAACGTTGAACTTGTGTTCAATTGGGTGACCTCTGTGGAGTTGTCGCTATTGACGCCTCAATCTAAGAGAAAAGTAAAGCCTTAGGGAAGTTGGTCTGAGACGATTTAAGATCAGGGAAAATATAACTAAAAGGAATTTTCACATTTTATTCCCTTTCCCTAGATTTCTGAAAAGGACCAGCTATGACCCTGTGGAAGAGGCTACAGTCCTCACAGAATAATCCAGACTAGCTGTTGGGTTAACTGCCTACAAAACTAGGATTAAGGATTATGTACTCACCTAACCTAGCAAGCTACTTTGGGATTGCTTTAAATTTAAATCTCTTAACCTCTTTAAATCTCAATTTCTTAATTTGTAAAGTGGGAAGAATACTTGTCTTGCCCATCTTTCTGGGATGTCAGAGTTTAAATTAGATAAGTGTATGGTTAGCTCTATTTTCCCTTAGAAAAAACTGCTTTAAGAATTCTAAAATGAGGGGGTTAAGATCCTTCTCTCTACAGTGCTTGTGAATCTAGTGAGCACACCATCAACTATGCAAACTGCCCTCAGATAATCATTTTCTACACTTTATCCAATCTAGCAATCTTGCTTACAATCATTTCACAAATGCTTGACTCAGGCCAAACTGAGTTACTTGTTGCTGCTTGTACATGCCCCTCACTTTTACACAATTTAGAATCTTTTCCCTAATGTTCCCTCAGCCAGAAGTGTGTTTATGCTCAGTTCTATATATCTACATACGTACTGGGAGTACACCATAAAAGGCATCAAGGAAGGGGACAGAGATGAAAAGGGAAAGCCCACAATCCCTGTCTTCTAGGAGCATATCTAGTGAGGGAGAAAGACAAGCAAACCAAAAGATAAGGCTGCATAAATTAAGTGGTCAACAGAAGTACAAGAAATATAATGTGCTCAAGGACACAAATAATCAATTTTGACTCCATGGAGGAAGTAGCATGAGCTGGACCTATAAATTCTCTAATTCTATAAGCAAAAAATAACATTTTATTGTATTTTAAAAGTGTCTGTAGGGACATTCTCTCATTTGAACTTCACAATGACCCTGTGAGACAGATAGGGATTAGCAACCCCACTTGGAGGAGGAAATTGATCTTCAAATGATTGTTTAAACAACTTGCTTAAGTCATGCAGCTGGTAGGTGGCAGGGCCTAGACCTAAACTCACATATGCTGCCCCTAAATTCAGAGAGAAGGGCACTCTACTTGATTTAAATGCCTGCCATCCTTCAAGCCCAGCCCCAAAGCTAAATCTACATACTAGAAAGTCTCCTTGAGCCCTCAAGGTATTTTCCCTCCTGGGAACCACCAGAGCATTTTGTACTTCTCTTAGGATACTAAATCACTTTCTACCTTGTATTATTGTAATTAAGGGATGAGTTTCGCCTCTTATACTAGACTGTTGGCTGTTTAAGGACAGGATCTGACTCCTGATTACTCCTCACAGTTAGCACAGTGCTTTGCATAGAGCAGATACTGCATACTTTGAGTTATGTCAATACTGCCATCATGCTCTCAGCTACCCAGATCATTTCAGACCCTTCTTTCTCTTTCAAATCTATCTAGTTAGGCACCAAGACGTCATTTTTCCATAATTTCTTAATTCCTATTGCTTACAATCTTGAGTATAACACTTGACTACTTTATATCTAGAGTAGTAACTTTTTAACTGATCACCGAATCTCCAGGGCATTCCCAGTCCAATTTACCCTCCAAACTACCACCACATTCATCTTAATTTCCTTATGTCTCCAGGTTTTTTTTTTTTCTTTTGGTGAGGAAGATTAGCCCTGAGCTAACATCCAATGCCAATGCTGAGAAAGATCTGCTCTGGGCTAACATCCGTGCCCATCTTCCTCTACTTTATGTGGAGCGCCACCACAGCATGGCTTGACAAGCGGTGCGTCCGTGCGCGCTGGGGATCTGAGCGTGTGAACCCCGGGCCCCTGAAGCGGAGTGCGCTCACTTAACCACTGCACCACCAGGCGGCCCCATGTCTCCAGGTTTTAAATCTTAACTTGTTCCCCTTTGCCTATAGGACATTGAACATAAAGCCTTCCAGTCCCTAGTCACTGCTCTTATCTGCTGTATATAAGTTCTTCATTTTAACAAAACCAGTCTATTAAACATGCTTTGGATATGCTTTGTTCAGTCTCATCTCTAGCCCCTTGCTCATTTCCATTATGCTTTTCTGGATATCTGCCCTCTTCTCCCTCACCCCCATACTAATGCCACCCCACCCATGATGGCATATCTCTGCTATGAAATCTTTCCTCATAGCAACCTTCTTTCCATAAACTCCAACAAACTTAAATCTGTATCACTCACTTGGCACATATCATTTTGTACCACAAATTGCTGTCTCTCCAAGGGAAATATGAGATCTCCAAGGTCAAGACTAGTGTCCTCTAGCATTTAATTTGGTTTTACTCAATAAACATCTGTTGTTGGACTGCTTCACCATTATTTTCCCCCATTATAGAAATGCAGCAGAGACATGGACATTCCAATAATTGAAATATTTTCTGTTCTCCCAGAAACATTTAATATCCAAAGTTTTCTGTTGCACGTACTCAAAACATTGTCTTCTAACCATTTTATCTGTATTCAGAAGCATCTTTGGTGTACTATGTTGGGTCCCACTTCTTTGAACTCTGCAGCAGTGATCCACATGTCCTGGAAGGCAGACAGGGATGCAAGAATAGAGCCTCCCATCCACACCGATATTTTCCTTTCTGGGGGAGCTATAACCTGCACAGGGGTGTTGGCAGGCACCACCTTTGCTATATCCTTCACTAGGCGCTTGTCTAAACCAGGGAAAGAAGTTGATCCCCCAGCAAGGATAATATTGGAGAAAAAGGAATTCCTCAGATCTGTATCACATCTCATTATGCTGCTGAAGCACATCTTATCAATGCCAGGGCTCTCGAGGTTCATGAGACATGGAGAGAAGAGGGCCTCTGGACAATGAAAGAGCTGCTCGTGGAGCTTGATGGTCTTCCCATCAGGTAGCTGATACTCTCTCTCTATACAGTCCGGTTTCTTGGCCATTTCCTCTTCAAAGTTCATCGCCACGTAACATGAGGTTTCCTTAATGTCTGCGACGATCCTTCTGTCCGCAGCACTCAGCAGCATGATGCCATGGTCCTTCAACAGCATCATGAGGTAGTTGGTGAGGTCAAGGCCTGCCAGACCTATCTGCTGGACACCATGAGGCAGACAGTAACCCTCAAAGATGGGTACGCACTGGGTTATCCCCGCACCTGAATTCAGCACAAAGCCAGTCGTGAAGCCAGCAGCAAAGAGAGCCAGCACCCCCTGGATGGACATATAAAAGGCAGGAACCCCCAGATGCTCAAAAAACACTTCAGTGATCTGTTGCCGGTTGGCCAGTGGGCTCAGTGCTGGCTCTGTAATCAAGACTGGGCCGTCGCAGGGCTTTAGCTTCAGGTTAGCCTCATAGATATGATTCCACATGATCTCCATGTCCCCCCAGGAAGTAATGAGACCACGCTCCACTGGGTAGCTGTAGGAAGAGCAATAAGATAAATAGTAAGTTTTCATTTTTCTGTTTTCTATTCTCTTCAAACCTGAGTTAATCCCAGTATTTATTACCAGTATCCTTTTATGGGGAGTGATGGCCAGAGCCTCTCAGAGAAGGTACTGCCAGCAAAAGTTAGCACAGCTATCTTCCTCTGCAATTTTTTTTGTTGCTTTCCATTTTTCCCCCCTTTGGAAGACCCTTTGTGACTTTACAAAAATAAAAATTGGGAAATCTTCACCTAATAGTACAGTTTTAATGTCAATTAATTGAAGAAAATGACCCAAATGACAAAGGTACCTGGAATTAAGTAACATTCTTAAATGAACTTGTATTTTATGAATGATAACTTTATTTGTACAGTTGAATATATTTTTGTAGATGCAGAGAGCAAGTAATGTTCCCTCTTTACATGTTTGGTACCCTCTGAGATTTGGCGCCTGCGCGTTTGCACTAACGCAGGCTGGCTGCGGCTTTGCTGTTCCTCGCCCCCTTATCTGTTCTCTCACGCTTGCGCCCCTCATCTGGGCCCTCCCTCCTCTCCCTCCACGCGGGGCCTGCCTGCGGGGACACGGCGGTACCTGATGGACAGCGAGCTTCTGCGGTCCTGCGCTTGGTCGCCCACGCACAGTCCCAGCGCGCCCTCGGCTGCCAAGCTCTGGCCTTTGGCGCGGCCGATAATGTTCGGGTAGACAAACTGGGGCTCCCGGGACCCAGCCAGGCCCGCCTTGATCACTCCCGAGCCGTTGTCGATCACCACCGGTAGCTGGTAGCAGCTCATGCCGCCCGCTCCGTGGCCCGGCCGCTCCGGCCACCCTGGCTGCGGGCTGCGCGGGGTGAGCAGAAAGTGCTCGGCGCAGCCCCAGGTGGCGTTACGAGGCCCAGGTGATGCGCGGGGCCCACGGCCTGGAACGCCGCGTCACAAAGGCCCTGGCGTGGCCCCGCGGGACCTGAGCCCGGTGGTGCGGGCCGAGGGCCAGGGAGCCCCGGGCCCTTGGACTCTGCGGTCGCCAGGTGCCCTCCAAAATGCCGCCCGCGATTGCGTCTCCCCGGGGCTGGACCCCTCCCCACCTCTTGGAATCCGGGAATACCAATATCAGGAAATCTGACTTTCCTCCCCAAAGAGACAAATCTAACCCTTCACAAGAGGCTTTTTCTAATACCTCGATGAGCCATAAAAACAGTTTTATTTCCCAAAGTCATTGAATTCTGGTTAATAGGTGTCTGTCCCGGGGCCTGAGGGAAGCTCCGGAATGCGCCCTTGAAACTGGGGAAAGGTGCAAAGATTTGACAGGGGAAAGTTCTCACAAGAGGGGAGACACAGTGCGTGCTTCCGAAATCCTCGTCAACTTCTAAAAAAGAGAAACGAAAAAGTGCTAGGATTTAAATTGGTTTTAAATACTTTTATTATGGTTTTTATATACTGGGAAATAGTTTATTGTGCTTCTTTCCTGTGGTTTCTAAGCAAAATGTACTCAAAACCAAAATGGTAGAATCTCACTTTTTAATTTTTTTTAGCAATCCCCCGGTGTAATATGGAAGCTCATTCCCATTCCCTAAAAATTCTTCATTTTTAGGCATAAGAACGTCTCTGTCTCTTTGCAGGAAAAGTGATATTCCTTGGTCATATGAAGTTCAGGCTTAGAAAAATTTAAGTACATGGTGTGCCAAAAAGTGCATCTGGGCGTCTGATTTTTTTTTACCCCATCAATTTTGCACACTCTGTAAAGGGTTTTGAAACAAGTAGGCAAGTTAGAACCTCCGGTTGGTCTACAGAAGCAGGGAGGAAATTCAAAAGCTATTTACACGTCCGTCCACCAGAGGCTGGAAGCGTCGCTTTCTAGCCCCACAACTCGCCTGGGACCAGAGGCTGGAAGCGTCGCTTTCTAGCCCCACAACTCGCCTGGGACTCGCAGCATCGCCACGGCCGGCAAAAGATACGTAATAAACCACTATTTTCCTATAGAAGAAAGCGTACGCGAAGGAAGGGCAACTAGCGGCTGCTTGGTTTCTACAGTGGTACCTAGGGGGCTTCGGAAAAAAGTGCACACAAATTCCAGCTTTTGAAATAGTAGCAATGTTCAATTGGACATCGAATTGTTTTTGTCTATCTTCTTTCTGTTAAAAATTACCTTACTCTTACTTAACTTGAAATTCGTGTGAACTGCATGTTGCAAGATCTCTATTAAGGAGTTTCTGAGAGGCACCTGGCAGCTGAGTTTCCGTAGTGTAGTGGTTATCACGTTCGCCTAACACGCGAAAGGTCCCCGGTTCGAAACCGGGCGGAAACAGTCGTTCGCTTTTCTTTCCTCGCGGGACTGTGTGATATTCATTGGTTTTTCTTTCCTCGCGGGACTGTGATATTCATTAATCACGCTGGCTCTATAACGAAACACAATCTTTTGTTATTAATTTCAGGTGTACATTATTATATTTCAACTTCTGTATAGACTGCATCCTGTAACAGTACACATGTGCCCCTTTACCCCTTTCGCCCTCCCCGGCTCCCTTCCCCTCTGGGAACCACCAATCTGTTCTCCGTGTCTATGTGTTTGTCTATCTTCTACATACGAGTTAAGTCACACGGTAATTGCCTTTCTTCATCAGACTTATTTCACTTAGCATAATACCTCAAGGTCCATCCATGTTGTCCCAACTGGCAAGATTTCACAAAAGAAAACTCTGAGTGTAACTTGCAGAACCTTGGGAATTTGAACTGTCAATTTGGGTGGCACTTTATTTGTTCCCCAAAGGTTTTTTTATTGACAGCTTGCCACTGGAGAAGGTGCTCCAGACTTCAAAAAAAATTTTTTGAATTCAACTCACAACCTGATACTGAAAAAAATAATGTAATGTACAGTCTAGAAGGGGCGATCAAACAGTGTAAAACAGCCCTGTCGCCTCCTGAGCAGTCTTTGTATTACAAGTCATTTGGTTTTCCATTAGTTTTCCCCTTGAGATTGCAGATTTCTCTAAACGCCAGAGACCATGTTTTATTCTTATTCTATAAACTTAGTGTCATGCTTGACACCTGTTACAGACTCATAAATATCGCTGAATTAATAAATTAGCGAAAAGGGTTCTGAGAAAATTAAAGGGGAATCAAAAAGAAAATTAGAAAGATAAAATCAAGAAACAAACAGCCTCAAATTGTTTTCTTATAAACATAACAGGTTGTGGTTTTATTCACAAATAGGATTCTTACTGAGAAGAGAGGAAAGAAGTTATAAAGAGAGCAAATAGAACCTGGTTGGAAAAACCCCAGGAGAGAAGAAAAGAATAAATCCAAGTTCACACTGTCCTTTAAAATAAAGTCGCGAGGAAATTTCCTATGGTCTTGACATAATTTTCAACAAGAAAAAAGGCTGAAGTTTTCGTTTTCTGTGATTTATAACTTTCCCGGGTACTACGAAAGAATCCACCCTAATAATCAGCAAGACTTATGTTACTGTTTCTGCGCCTTTTGTATATTACGCAGATAACTGGTATCTTCTTCTCTCACTATACAAAGTCTGAATTCCATGTAAATAATTGCATTAAAATTTTTCTAGTCCAGAAGCAGGAGAACCTTTTCCGGTATAAAGCCCACCTTCCTCCAATGCTGCGCGTGCTCAGTGTGCGCTGCTGCTTTGCTCCGCTTTCCTGCGTCTCAGACTCTGTCACCAGGTAAGGGTATCCTGGAAACTGGGCTACTGTTGGCTAATGCAAACAAAACCCAGGGGGTCCCAAGAGCTTTCGGGTACGTAAACTAAAAAGGGGTGATCAGCCTCAGCTCAAAAATTCCTCATGGTCGAGAGCCGGAGAACACAAAGCAGCTGCTCCCACTCGTGGGGACCTGAGGAAGGGGAGGGTGACGGGAGACGCCAAGCAACTACAAGCCCCAGCATGCAGTGCGCAAGTTGGGCTCCTGGAAAGAGGTCCGCGGCTCAGCGCTGCGCGGCCTCGGCCAGTAACGGGGGCCGAGCGAGAGATGCTGACTTTCAGCCGAGCAAAATGCTGAGAATGAGGAAGACAGGCGGGGCGCTGTGAGCGAGCCCTTAAGTCTCGTATCCACGACGCTCGCTGTTTCCGGGGGCCCCAGGCATGGCCAGGGAGTGGGGTCTCTGTGACCCAAGCGGGTGTTGGACCTCCGCGGTCCTGGAGCCGCCTGCGTTGCCACGGGACGCCTGGAGCCGGATGTGACGTCGCCGTGGAGGAAGAAGGGAGAGGCGGAGCGTGGCGCGGTGACGTTCTTCCAAGATGGCGGAGAGAGAGTGAAGAAACTGTTCCCCTTTGGGTTGCTATAGGTGAGTTCTGCCCTTCACCCCCGGCCCGCCATCCCCGCTCTCTGCGGACCCTGGGCCATTGCGGGGCAGGCACCTTGGAGTTCGCGCTCAGTTCGGGGCGAAGGTGTTAACGTGCAAAGCTCGGGCGAGGCAGCCCGGGTGTTGGCCTTGGCCGCAACCTCCGCTGTGGGAATTCGCGGGAGTGGGAGCTGGGCGAAGAGCAGGGCGACAGAAGCCGGGAGAGACCGGCTTTGGTTGTCACTCTTCGAGGGCGCCTCGAGTGGAGCGGGGGCAAGGGAGGGGGTGTGGCCTCCTCGGGGCGAGTGACAGAACGTTTGACAACTCTTGGCCCCGCTCGTTCTCCGCCCCCTCGGCACCCGCCTCGCCTTTGGAGGCCACTGTGTGCACCACGGAAGCTAACAGGTTTCAGTGATTTGAAAGCAATTTTAAAGAACTCGTCCTTTCCCCATCTGTCCCAAGGAATCATTTCTTAGTGGTTTGTTAATTTTTTTCTTAACATGTGCATGCCTGCTGAGCTTGTAAGTCTGAAGGTTTCCCTGATGCAAAAGCGTGAAATTTTGCGGTGCTGTTTTTCCAGCTCGTGAAATGTTTTCAGTTATCGCCATTTATTGATGTATCCCAAGGATTGTGTTAGTTGACCAAAATGAAACAGAGAAAGGCACTTATCCCGTCAGCATTTTTAACCATATCTGTTTGATAAGAATTTTTTGGGGGGATAAAATGAGAACTGATTTTATTCTTGTTTATGTTATGTCCTATGTTCCTTCTCCCCACACCATTTGCTTGGGTGAAATGTTTGATGAAAACTTAGGGTTACTGATTTACTATTTCTTTTTGTGTTTTGTTTAGAACAGGGGTAAAATTCCATTCTGGTATCAAAATGCAGTATTCGCACCACTGTGAGCACCTTTTAGAGAGACTGAACAAACAACGGGAAGCGGGTTTTCTTTGTGACTGCACCGTAGTGATTGGAGAATTCCAGTTTAAAGCTCATAGGAATGTGCTTGCCTCGTTCAGTGAGTATTTTGGTGCGATCTACAGAAGCACTTCTGAAAACAATGTCTTTCTTGATCAGAGTCAGGTGAAGGCTGATGGATTTCAGAAACTGTTGGAGTTTATATACACAGGAACTTTAAATCTTGACAGGTAAAGTACACATTTTATTTTCACTCATAAAAGCTAGTCTGTAGAGCTAAAGTAGATGTGTATTTTTTCCAGTCAGTCCCTGAACTCAGAGCCTTGAATTATTGATATGCACAATATTGTTGTTTGTTTTAATAAAGAATTCAGTATCACTGATTTGGGATAAAAGACTACGTTTTTTAAGCACAAAAAACACAAATGTTAATAAGATTAAAGCCTTGTTTCTGACACATTTGATTTATCTACTGAAACAAAGCCTGGGATTTCAGCTATGTAAACTTGAAGATTAAACACAATGAATTCCTAAGTGAATTCCAGTTTCCCCTTGCTTTTTGGTCTTTATGTTCCTCTGATCTTCTCTTTCCCTCACTCTCTTTTCCCTGCTTCTTAAGGTGTTTGGGGTAGGGGAG